TGACCTAAATTTTCTTCGTCATTGAAGTTAGCTTCATTTGAATCGTAGGACATTAAGAGTTTACGTATTTGATCCTATTGACGTTATTGAATTCATTATGACTGAGATTATTATGCATTATTTATAAATTATCGATTATTTCCAATTGTGCGTTAAAATTTTTTAAACAATAATTACAATTATATAAACTATTTAAATTTCAGTTATTTAAGATATATAAAAATGATCAAGCGTAGAAAAATTTATATTAATTACGAATATAAATTAAAATAATAATTTAATTTCATTATATTTGTTATTTGTTATTTGTCAAAGTTCTTACGTGAGAAATATCGTTGCCAGATTTTAATAAAAGAGATCTCTGATCGACGCCTAAGAGACCAACATAAGAATTCGGTTTTGCCATTATCGTCAGATCTACATTGTCTCCAGGCTCAACTTCGTCAGGAATCATTTTAATATCAACCTAGTTGTATAAGATAAGATGATTCAACATGAATAATTTAGTAAAATTTTAATTCACGTATCAGGCATTAAATTACATACGAAATTTTGCAATGCTCCATCCAATTCTATGTCTAATGAATCTGCAATTATTTCGCCATCATCGCTTACATAATAAACTAATAAGTGAGCAACAGGAGCCATTACATATGTAGTCAAGAATCTAATTAAGATAAGTGTGGTAAAGTGGCGTCAGTATTTTAGAAAAAAAACATAGTTATCGAATAACAAATATGAAATTATGACAACCGTAAAATTATATCACTACAAATAATCGATTATTCATATTTATTTGCTATTTTAATTAAATAATTAAATATTCAAATTACTGAAATGTCGCTGTGCGTCTATCGGATACTTGAATGGAGTTAGCAGTCAAAATATCCCCGCGTCCAAAAACTTGATAGCTAAGATATTTTAATGGATTTGTAGAGTTCACTTCAATCTCAATGTACTCATTTACCTATTATATTTAAAAAAGATGAAAAACAATATATTATGTAAAGAACATTAAATTGATTCGAATTGTAAACGATAAATACCATAGGTTTTTCTGTACGAAGTGTTGCTTGGATATACACTTCGCTCCTAGACGAAGCCGGATTTGTTGATGGGAACCATTCATGCAAGTTCAGATATTGAGCCTATATTAAATTATTGAATTAATTTAAACTTTTTATGTATTTTCGAAGTAATTTTCCAAATTAATAATCTATTTTTATTACCTCTATTCTAAGAGGTCGAAATATGTGATCGGGAACCAACGTTGGTGGATGAAAGTTCAGCTCTATCATGCCGTTTCTATCGAGCATTTTTGTCATATTATATAAATTTTCATGATCATAGGTATACCCATACGATATGTGAACGGGATTTGTATTATCGATTACTGGTGAACCATCATGATACGCAACTTTTAACTAAAAAATTAAATATGTCAATGAAACCTAATTTGATTATTTATAATTGATATTATTATAACTTTTAAATCTTTAAATGGTATTTTAGTTATTTATGTATAAGTTTAAAGATTAATTACCGTATGCAAATTATTTATATCATAATATTAAATTCTTAATCTATGATATTGTTAATAATCTGATGTTCTACACAAAATATACCATAAAATAGTTGGGCCATATCATTTGACAAGCAAAGAGAATGCGATATTTCATGCCAAGAAGAAAGTAGAGACTTACAAAGGCCGTGTACTTCATGCCAGGCTTATAATACTCCGCAGTTCTTAGTAAATCCATAGTATACTTGTGTTTATGAAGGGTTATTTGCATGGAGTTATTCTGTCTTCTTCCTGTGACGGCTTCCTCTACGGCAACCTCGATAACTACCGGTCTCCTGTAGTCATCGTCAGTCACTCTATTGAATAGCAACAAAAAAAAAGTTCCTTTAACTTTTATTCATTTTCAGCTATTTACCAACTATTTATTAGAGTGTATTTGTAAAACTCATTAAAATTCATTTCTATATTGTTTAACTTGAGCTTAGCCTTCGATTACTTCTTGATATAATTTATAGAAAAATGAAGTGGATGACGATTAGATTGCTAAAGATGGTTTATATTTTGAATTTTCTGAGCCTCGTGGCTGAATGTTAGTGATATTTACATAATAATAATTTATTTAATATCTTACGACGGTCAAAAAATATTGTAAATAATAATTAATTAACATACACAGTTAGTAAATAAAGAGTGAACAGTAATTTCTGCGAACAGTAGTAATTTCTGTAAATCATAAAGATTGAGCTCGATAGACATACATCTATTACATATTATTTTTATCGTTAAATTATTTGACAGATTTGTCTACGAATTCGATTCGATGTCAAATTTAATTCTGAAATTAATTGAATGGAATGTAAAACTTTATATTTCACGAAAGTTTGATGATTCTTGAAACTACGATGGTTAACGAACTAACACGCGAATTTTGGTTATGTAGGCTCTGCAGCAAAGAATCGTTTGTAGATCGTTACCTGAGGTCGTTGATGATATCGAAGTCCACAGTTGCTTTCCCCTCAATTTTTATGATCTTTCTGATGGGCGATTGATATACGGGCTGCAATACCGGTGAATAAATATCAGGAAATGCTGTAATCGTAGCCTCACCCTTTACCGGCTTCCCGTAAGTATATCTGTAGGGCGATGGAAGGTAGATCGTAAATAAATAATATTTCATTTGAGGAGATATATCATGATAATTTTATAATAAATTCATCCAATTAATTATAATTATATTATTATTGTAACATTCGTTGCGTTGGAAAATTTGTCAAAGTTTCATCGCAATTTTTAAATTATCATTGATAATATAATCAACAAAATGAAAAGTTATTTTTAATGACTTTTTGGGCGTTGCGGACTATATTTTCTGAGATATTTTATTTAAAGACATTGTTTAGAACTAAAGTAAATATACAGATTAAAATAAAATAAAAAAAAGAGTTTTATTTTATTAAATGCTTATGGAAATATATAATTTTAGTACACTATAAATAACTTATTTTTAATAGAGTAAGAAATAGAGAATAATAATTATCATTCGTAATTTCGAACTTTATATAGATCTTGAACAGAATTGCAATTATGACTTTTTACCATTATAGAGGCTTATTACTTAAATAATAGTATATTAGAAATTAGAATGAAACTTTAATATAAATTAGTTCGTTATGATAATCAACAATCATTGTTTTTCATTAGACTTTATCAATGCATTTTTTTTTTAATGTAAATAAACTAGTAATCACTTCAATACGATAAGAATTTTCAATAACGAAATAATTTATTTTTATTTCAAAAATATTACTTATATTATAGACTAAATTCAACGTTTCTACATTAAGAAGCAACCGCAGAATATTATCTTCTAAAACAAAAGAAAACTTACTTAGCATGAACGATGACAGTGATTTTTCCTTCTTTGAAAGTTGCATGAAGGGGAGCATCGATTGTAACCTCGAACTTCGGTAAAATATACTCTGCGACCTGTACAGTTTTTCTGAATGTCTGATTACCAACATTGGCTATAATTTCCCAATCACCTAAAACGGGTGACTGTGACAATTCCAATTCGGCATTAAATATTCCTTGATGTAATGTCGGTCGATCCCATTGTTTTATTCGATTGCCTTGGCCATCCTACCATGATTATTTTGAAATAAATTCGTAATGATTAGAAATTCTTCTGTATGCTTATTATAGTATAAATATGTTACGTATATAATTATTAGTACGAATAATATCAATGTGCACAACTATCATCATTAAAAATAGTGCTTATCTACTTTATGATTGATTAGGATTTATTGCATAAGATGTTCTATTAAAGTACTCCATAGTCATACGAATAATAATTAGTTAATCACCCGGGAGACTTTGAAAGATATGCATTTTTTGAGATTTTTATATATTTTAGAATACTGATATTTATTTTACCATATTATTTTTTTACCATAATTTTTTTACCATAATTACCATAATATTTTCTACCATATTTATTTTACCTTTTTAAACATTCATTTTAAAGTAAGTACAGCTTAACAGTTAGAAGATTACATAGATTAAAATTCTGGAAATTTCTAATATCAAATTGAAATTGAAACACATCAAGAAATTAGTTGAAACTAGTAGAGAGAAAATATAAATCAATACATACAATCATTGAAAAACATAATATAATATATATGTTTATGAGACACATAATTTTATAGCGTTGATTTTCTTAATGAAGAGATTTACTCCTTATTTTAAGGCTTCAGGCTTCAGCGATAAAGTTCGCAAAGACACAAGTCCAATAATGCAACAAAATTAAAATTCATTGCTATCAGGATGAGTGTAGAGTTAATGCGGCGAAAAGGGATACAAGAGCACGGCGCGCATTATTATAACCAAATGTTCGGCGGAGCAGTAAAACAGTTGAACTTACCGTAATATAAACCTCGAATTGTCGACTCGCCGTAGGTCTCAGCCTCGAGTTCAGCACGATGCATCTAAACTGAATTTTATTGCCGGGCTTGTACACCGACCTGTCGGTCTGAAGCAGCACTGCGTAGCTCTTGTGCACATACTCGAGCTCCGTGGAGTTGACGAAAGCGTAACCGTTAAGGCTCCGCGCCAGGAGTCGGTAATTACCCGGGCCCGTATCACCAATCTGCAATTGTCACGTACGCAAACAGAAAGTTATGGCATCGTGTGAGCGAGGAATGTATAATGAGCTTGGGGTCACGGCCACGATTTAGAGGTAGAGAACTCGCCTGGGGAATCTATGGGAATGCACCGTGTGAAGAATAGTGGCTCGTAATGCACAAGAGCGCACCGGACGAGTGCACTCCTTTCAATTTTAACGTTCCTTCGTTCTTTCTGAACTCACATATCTCGATTTACATATTAACATACTTACTTATTTCCCAAAATATTAGATTTCTGTCATCGTCTTTTGTAATAGATTTTTGTTCGGTAACTTTAAATAAAATGACTTTCAAGTAAAATATTAATACATTATTTACGGATATTAAATAATAATACTATTCATTATATTATGATTTTATAAGATGTTAATTTCAAATTGCTGTATAATAATTGAAATTTAGATGACTTATCCTAACAAGCTTAAATAACTCTATTATCTTCAATTTCTTTTCTATTCTACTCTTTTTGGCATCATTACTGTCCACATATTTTTAAAGTGATTTATCCTTTCGAACATCCAACGTAAGATTATTAATTTGTTATTATTATAGTTTACTAGAGTAATCTAATAATTTTATAACGTCTTACCGGTTTTTCATGAAATTTTAATTAATTGTTACGATGTGCTTACCAAGCCGCTTATAATTTTAATATTCATTTTTGTCTTTATCTGTCGCTAGATCTGTCTACTATGACTAAAGTAGTATATAATTCTTATTAAAATTAACATGAGTATTTTTTTATTTTAAAAAAATTAAACTTTACTTTAATCAATTAAATATATTTCATTATTATAAACTAACTATTTCCTATAAAACACGTAATTTCTAGTTAATTAAATGAATAAATATTTATCATAAATACTTTTGATAAATACTTACTTCCATAATATATAGATAAATTTATAAATTTATTTGTTCATAAATCAAATGCGCATAAATGTAATATATTATATTGATAAAACTTGAAATTTATAGTTGACAATCTTATTTGTCTTCTAATGTTATTTTAGCAAAAAAAAAAATTTTTAACAAAATAGAAATAATTTAATATACCCAAATGAAAGTTCAATAATTTTATTATATTTTTTTTATTGATCTTTTAAATAAAGTTTATAGTCACTTTTTTTTGTCAATAAATGCACTGAGTATACAGTACTATTTACAATGTAATTGTAGTAATAAGTATGAAATGGAAAACAACTTTTGTAAATTTTTTATAATAATTTCTTACTAATAGTAATTTACCTATACAAAACATCTAATCAAGGTACATACTAAGCAGCTATATAAAAAATTTTGAAAGCACTTGAGAAATCGTGAAACATCGTGTCGCTCTTTTGTATTCAAAGCGTTCCAAAAGTGCCCGTTAACACATTTATAGCAGTTATCAATACGTGCTATTTAGGATCTTTAAAACTTTTATATAAAATAATGAAGGACTGAAAAAAGGCAGTTGTATCCCGTATCCTGTAAACTTTTTGTAATTACCCATTTGGCCCTTACACAATGAATAGGTATGTATAGGTAATGTATGAGCATTCTCATATTCTCTCTTCTTTCTACTTTTGTTATTGCGCCGCACTTCGGTACCAGGAAAATAAAGAGAAACAAAATTTTATGCATGTGCACGAAGTATTGCGAAAACCGTTATTTTACGAATTATGTAATAAAGCATAGCCACGAATGAATCTCAAGGGATAACTTATGTACTTATGGAAAAACCATGTTTTCTGCTTTATTATTATTATCTTATTTAGAATATGAAATATGTGCATGTTTGTTGTAGATATTATAATATCTTTGTTGCTGGAAGAGATAACGATGTTTAACGGAGATGTGACTTTTATGCTCCATCGATCGATTTGTGTTACGTGTTAATCAATTTATATCGTGTAAGAGATACACGATGTAATATTAGTAACCGCTATTAAAGGTAACTAAATTACATTAAAATTTTCTAGAGGTCCCTTATTCTTTAGATATTATAATTTTTATAATTCCGATTATTTATAAATCCGTTAGTTAAATTTTGATTATATTTCTCCTTAAACGAGTAAATCTTTATCAAAATCTCTTTTTTGTAGTAAAACTGGAGTCACGATCTAAGCATATCAAGACCAATGAATAATTCAAACAATTTACTAAATCCAAACATGATGTCATTATTATTTTGAAAAAATAGACACAATCTTATTAACATTGAGCGATTCTCCGAATTTAAAAATTTTCTACTAAGCACTTGAATGTATATAATAAAAATCAAGTAATATGTATACGATATTTGTATATAAACCACTTTTAATATAAAATATTTCATATTTTATTAAAAAAAAAAAAGTTGCATTTCATAAAATGAATTGTACATATTGTAGTATTGAGACTTTTCTGTAAAATAAATTATGAAATTAGAATTTAAAATTACGAAGCTATCATGGAATTCGTTAATAAGAACTAAATATATATTAATTTTAAATAGTGTAATTATTCATACAATGGTGATTATTAATTATAATGATTTATCAATTTTTCTTCGAAGTTCTAAATCAAGTTGATTAAGACGTCAATTTAATTATGGAATTTAATTTGAAATATTATTATATTATAATTTAAAAATATCAGTGTTTTATTATCAATTTAGTGGGTTAAAAATTATTTAATTACTGCTCTAACAGTTAAAGCAATTGTATCGTAAAATTCATTAGCATTAAGTCTTTTAAATTTACTTATATTATTAAATATGTTCTCTAGTATTCAACTTTCTATAAAACGGTATAATTCAGTTTGAGAAATAATTGAAATTAATTCTTAATTATTATGTTACTAAATAAAATTTGAATTATTTGAATAGAAGTACACCGAAACGTGTGTCTTGTTTCAGTATTTGCCATTGATTCACTACAGAGATTTAGGTCAAAGTGAATAGAATCTCTACTTTCTTCCAGTCTCACATACTTGACCTTTCATTTTTCCGTAGAAATGTCCCAACTGACTTTCCTAAAAGCTATAATATTTATGATGGTACAAAAATGAATATGCATTTTTTATTATACATGTATGCATCTAGTTTAAATACTTTTTTTTTTATTGTTTAAAGTTTATAATAGTATTTAATAATATTAAAAAGAAAATTTTTCTCAAACATTTTATTGACTTTTATAAATAAATTAACTTTAATTAATGAAGTCATTATTCATTTATAACTATAATTTATAAACAGTATGTTACATGTATTAAGAGAAAAATAGAAATTTTTAATAAAATTATAATTCAATATTATAATAATATTTAAATTTTTTCTTTATATTACTTCTTATAAACTAAAAGAATTTTCATCATTACAAAGTTCTGGATCTTTATAATTTCTGCACATAGAAATTTTAAAGATTTGACTAATATTTTTCAATTTTAACTAAATAATTGTACACTAAATAATTATATAATAATTATACAAAATTTACGGTACATTATAGTGTAATTTTAATATTAAACCTATTTAATATTTAATTTATATAACAAACACTTAACACGATACTTTACTTAAGTTGTTAAATTACTTTCTTACTGCCTCAATTATTAATATTTATAAAATATTTCAATTGCAAATGATGCACACAAGTGATGTTAATTTAAACATGAATATTAAAGAAAAACTAATTTAAAAAATACGTAATAGTTTTATACATACTAATATGAGTGCTTGTCTCACTAAGAATTATCTTTCAAATAAAATCAATCGCATTAGCTTATTATATCGTATGAAACTGTTATATTTATTGGAATATTAAGTAGAAATATAAGATTTTGTTTTCAGCCAAATTAAATTTTTATTTCACAAAATAAGATCTTTTTTTATGAAGGAAAACTTAAGCTATTTATATATATGAATAACTATAATTAATAATTATATTTATAATTATACTTTCAAAAAGATGAACATTTTTTCTTTATATTAGAATTATTAAATATAAAAATAACGGATGAAAAAGAGAATAAAATTCAGAAATAATTTATTCATTTTACATAATTCTTTTTAAAGACAAAATTTATTGTTTAGATTACAATTAAGATTGTTGCTAGTAGATCTAAAGCTCATTTTTTAAATATTGAGCTATTGCAATAATAATTAACCTTAATAGGTATGTAATAATAAAAAATGAATTTCTGGATTAGTAACTGAGCTCGGAATGGTTTATATGACATCATAAGTAATCAGAGCGCAATTTCCTCATACTTGGTTATATATATATATATATAAATATATATATATATATATATATATATATATATATATATATATATATATTTATTTATTTATTTATATTATATAATATACCAATATTATTTAATATTAATGGAAATGTTTTACTTACTTCGAGGCTGAGAATACGCGTTGCGAAGGGCTCGACGACGACGCTTTCGGACACCGCGAACGACTCTCCATTGTCTAGTTGACCGGAGAGTTCGACGAAGGTCGTTGTGGGCTCGGAGTAACCGATGATACTCACCGCTACGTGATACTCTGAGTTAGGACGGATGATTTTTGGCGCGACGATAGTATAATACCTTCGAATAAATATAAAGATTCGATTTTGCTAGACTATTTATTAATATTAATAAATTAGGATCATTTTATGAAAGACATGTTACGCTTACGTTTGACCAGCGGCATTATAAGTAGCCAGACTGCAAATGAAAAGCAAAAAGGACCAAGAGGACCAATCCATTTTTATGGCAGAATTTTGCCCGCACAACTCTGAAAAAATCGAATTGATTGTAAAATATTTATATATAATCAGGCTTTGTTGGATTTTCGAAATGTCGATTAACGGAAATAAAGCCTATTATATTACAACTACTGATATTACATTATGGATCATATGTGTATTGAATAAAACCAATTGAATATAGTATCGTATAATATATTGTACGCATAGATTATAAATTCCATGATAAATAGAAAGGCATTAAATTTTTTTATACATTCATTACTTTGCAGCTTCAGTTATTTACAATATTTATAATCCCATTTATGCTCTGTTCATCGATATGTATATATGATTTTTCATTTAAACGATATATAAAACGTTATATAATTATATATAATAATTGAGATAGTTTAAATTTAATTGAAATTTTAAGAAATAATTATTAACCGCATTAATCAATTAAAAAATACATATTAAATGCGATAATACAAAATTAAATTATTTTTTTCTTAGTTTACCAGTTAGTAGAATTTAATTTGGAGATATCAATGCTTGCAAACGATAAGTTTCATTCACATTTTTAAATAAAAAATAAAATTTAGATAAAATTGATATTTCTCCAATTACAGAGGTATACACATAGAAAAATTAATATAAATATAAAAAAGATGTCATTTTGAAGTTAAATATTAAAAAAAAAAATTTATAATTTACCATAAAAATATTTAAATTCTGCAAATATATTTATGCGTTATAATATCATTATTTACTAAGGTATAAACTGTTATTCTATTTATATTTATTTAATTAAAAAAAAGTATCTACAGTAGTAAATTAATATTCAACTAAAATGCAGGTAATTACTTAAATGATCAACGTGCGATATGTGCATAACGAAATTTAAACTTATGTTAAATGAAATTATTTTAAAACAATTTATGTGTGAGCAATGTGAAGCCCTTTTTCCATTAAATATCGCATCATTATACAGACTTGTTTTATATGAATTATAAAATTTTCGGATATGTAATTATGCCCCACAAATCAGCGTTTATACCAATTAATGCTTTAATAAATATAGAAAATTGTCCAATCGTTAGGTTTAGCACCTCTCAATATTTCACAACACAAATATTATAAAACCAATTCATATTAATACTTTGAAGTGATCTGTTTTCACAGAAAAAACTTACATTAAAAATCGATGAAAATGAAGTTGCAAGGCTGCAAAGATGCCAGAACAATAAATACATACAGCTAATTACAAGACACTAAAATGAAAACGATTGTTTAAATGTTGGCAATGTAAATGTAGAGTCTCGAAAGCGTTACGCAAAGCCGCGTGTGAGTCGGAATGACCAAAGCGATCAACTGAATGGCATACAAGCAACATCCACGCGATCACGATCTCAATTCCACTCCCGCGTGATTCCATATCATGACACACGCGCAGATACACGCCTGTGCATAATGTAAAAGGCAGCGTATGCGTGGGCATCCGATGTCCTCGCGGCGCCAGAAGAAAACAACCGCGGCGGTGTCCGAGAGAAAGTGAGCTCCGAAAATGTCGTTCCTTCAGCGTTCTATATGTATACGTGTTGCGACGTCCTCCGAATCTCGCTCCGATTGTTTATATCTTAACGCGATGCTGTTCCAGCGATACGAAATTTAAACATCTCTTATGCGCTGATTGATATTTACGAATTTGCTCGCGGGAGCGACGGCGGTGGCGGTAACAGTGCGTATTAATTCACGGCCATGCAGCTCAATAGTCATCATGGCATTTTCGACGACGGCGATTTCCATTTTACGTCATTTAAAAATATCATAGAGTTGTCAATATTTGCGAGTAAATAGCAGCGCGCTGAGATGAGCAATCGGAATCAATATCCAATGTTCAATCTATCAATATTCATATAAGAATTATAGTGATAAAATATCTGGTAATGAAGCAAATACTATCCCTATCTGGTAGCGTATTTATCAGTTAGATTTATCTTTCCTTGTTATTTATACTATAAATTTTTGAGAACAAGTGTTCATTTTAGAAAAATGATAACGACTCAAAATATATGCTTCGCAAAAGTTACATGAAAGAAGATTTTACATTTTAAATGCGTTATGGTTTATCGATAATTCTATCGTTTTTTTTTTAATTTTATTGATCGAGATCAAATTTTCACTGACATACATCTTCCTCTAATGGATTTTTCTAATGAATGTATATAGGAGAGAATTTTTAAATAACAAAATATTAAGCAATAAAATTAAAAACAATTTACTTGAATACTGTTTACTTTATGAGTAATGCTAAAACGACGCCATCTTGTCCCAAATAAATTTCGAGTCTAGCGCGAAACTTTTAAAGTATTTTTTCAGACAATTTAGCTCTTTCATATTGTAACATGTTGTTTTTGCAAAGATAAAGGTCGTCCATCTATTTGTGCATATTCTTAAACATCGAATCAACATTTCACTAAATTTATTATTCCCACGCATGAAATTTCTAAGAAGTTACGTATCTTCAAGACTCCAATGAAATATTAATTAGAGGAAAATTATTATATAACTTATGATTTGTAGTTTTCGCTCTTTTTCTATCATCCATAACTATGCACGCATAGACAGTCAGCCAGATAGACAGACAGACAGATAGACATAAAGATAAAGATAAAACACGCACGACATTAATGAATTTTAAATTTCAATGCAAAATGTTCGTCATTCATTTGTGAAAAAGCTTTTCATTATCATAGGTCGAGCTCCAGTCCTAATTCACACCTCGTATTTCCCTTCTGTACTATTTCTCATAATTGAGAATTGCGCGATGCATCACCGAGGTGCGCCAAGCGCGACTTTCGTCGCGACCATAATCAGAGCAATGCTCGGAGGGAAATATACGCGGATAATCCCGGAAAAGGCACGCGCAAGTGAAATCGGCGCGTCGTAAGGATGTAGCGGAGAGCAGTGGCAATTCTTCCCGACACTCGGCTGTACACTTGTACGCTCGGGCTGCTTTTCCTTTAACGGTACCGTTAAAAAAGAAGCCGAGAAAATGCGATGCAACTGGCCGACATTATTAAAATGGGCTTTCGGTTACATAAAGCCGGAGGCCGTGGCTCAAACATGACCCTGACATCGGTGTAGTAGGCTGGCCCGTGATTGCCGTTGCGCGGACCCGCGTCGAATCTCTCATCCGCTCGAATATCCGGACTCTCGGGCCAATGGGGAGACTTAGCCCGTAACGGTGCACCTGCCTTGGCCGTCGGCCTTGTTTACATTCAAATGCGGCGCGAGCTCGCGAACCCTACGTGTCTCCACCTACTTCTCGTCCCCGGCGATGAACTCACCTGCGCGCTTCGCCTCCGCTCCCTCTCTTCCCTCAAATGGGCTAAGTTCGCTTGGCTGCTCGCTCGCAAGAAGAAGCTCGCGACCGCTCTCGATCCCGGCCAAGGATCCGCGAGAACGCGACTTTAAAACTCGCCGGACAAAGGAGCGCGGAGGTCCCCGTAAGAGCCGCGTTCTGCGGGCTCCGCCGTCTTAGCGCGACTGCCTCGTCGGCTCAGCCGAATCGACTCGGAGCCTCGAGGAAGCGGCTGGGTGGGGAGCACGGGAGGAGAGAGGCGCCGCGATCTCCCCGAACCCCGAACACGAGGATAGCAGCCGATCCTGGACTTGGAGATGCCGAGAGCTTTTGATTATGATTAGGGGGAGGGGAGAGACTTACTTTTAGGTGAGGTCGAGTGCGCGCTCGGACCCCATTCTTAACTCGAATGCTCACATGCTCCAACAGCCGAACGACCGAACTACGAGTCTATAAGAATATTATTCATCAGCACAATTGCCCCGTGTATGCTTCTAGTTTGATCAATGCTTTGCTAGACCAAATGTTTAACTCGTTGCTCGAATGTTCGTGTTGCGGTCAAAGGTCTCAGGAAAAGGCTATGTAATGTGTATTATTCTTACATCTCTGGTGCATCGGTAAGAATCGTTGCAGAATAAAAATTCGGATTGAATTTTTCTTTCAAGCAGACTAACGTAATTATTATAATATTTGTAACATAGGTATGTATTAAAAAAAAAAAAAAAGTGTAAATGAAGTGTGGAATTGGAAAGAGGACGTGTTAATTATTTGTATATTTTAAAATACAGTTATATTAGGAGAGAAAAAGTATTATAATATAAAAAAGGCCCTTTCCTTAAAATTCAATAATATTTATATTCGTAAGCGATTTTTCTTTAAACAATAGTATTTCATTAATGCTTGGCCTCGTACCTTTATACTTTTAACACACTTAGAAATTAAACATTTTCAAAATGTATGTTAAGCCATTACGATATTATGAAGACATTAAAACTCATCATTCTGAGCAATCTTCAACATTAAGGAAAAGAAAGAATTTATACAGTAAATATTTCATTTGATGTTTGAATTTCAAATAGATAATTTATAAAATAATAGAAAATCACTGAATTATGTATAATAAAGTGAAAAAGAAGAAAAAAAAAGAATTAAAATAAAAAGAAAAAATATATATATATATGTTATGTCCCACAGGTATATATAAAATTTTATGTATTTCTGTTTTTATCAAATTGTGATCAAACTTACTGTACCTAGTAGTATATTGTAAGATTTTAAAAAACAGCCACCACTAATAGAATTATACATGTCTCTTCCATTTAAATTAAACTGTATTCGTGCTTTATTGTTAATAAAAATCTTTGTTAAGATTGAATTTTAATATTCGTGTTAACGAATAATTTTAACATATTCTTAATTGAATGATTATGATCCTATAATGTAGTACATCACTCCTTGAATTATTCTGGAAAAAGTTATCGAGATAGATACAACTTATTTAAATTGCGATTAAAATTCATTGTATGTAAAATATAAATGATACGATAACATAAGAGGAAAACAGGAAAATCTCTAATAATATTGAAATATTCATATTGGTCATTAAATATATAATATATTACATAAGTTTTTTTTCATTAATTACAAAGGATTTTAATATATTTATTATCGAACACAATTTCAACTAGTATTTACATTGTTTTTATAAGTTAATATTAAATTATTATAAATAAAGATTCGTCTTTATGGACAATGCAATGCTTGCACATGAAATGGTTTATAAGTAATTGCTAAACATTGGATATTTGAGATTCAATAAATACTTTATTTACTTCAAAGTATTATAAAACTATATAAAATATATTGAAGTAATCAATAAACGTCTTAATACAATAGTTACAAATTTAATAAAGAATCTGCGGAAAGAATGTTATAAATGTCTTATATTAATACTTGTGGAAATTTATGTCCGTAATATAAAATATATGTATTATGTCAATTGACTGTGTTGTTTAAGCAATTTAGAAATTTTTTAAATGAGTTCGAGGGTATAAAACGTAAAGTTTAGCATAAGAAAGATGTAGAGAGAGGGAGAAAGCAAAATTATTCCTACTTATGTTCTCATTCCAATGAATCCTTCTCTCGGGTGTCAAGGCGAGTTGCACACTACCGTTATCCGACTCGCTGATGCCTTGATCTAGATACTGATGCAAAAGGTGCGGATCTCGGCTGCAACGAGGGGACGTCGATTCTAGAGAATCAGAGCTCTACTCCCCCTTCCATCCTACCCTCCCACCCTCGTTCACGCTTTTTCTCACTCTTTATCTCACTACCTATCTCTTTCTTTTCTTCTTTGGATTATACAGCACTATACAACTGAAGATTTACTGATTACAGTCTTCTCTTTTTCCTGTAAGGTCCATGGTGATAACGTTTAATTTATATATTGCTATGCTTTCAATTAAAGTATGTGATTATCTTAATACCGTATGATATAAAATATATAACGTGAACCAGGTAATACCATAATTATATACGGCATTGCAATTATATTTTAAATAGATAAGTTGTAAAATTTTATTTGATATTGGTCTGGAAAATATTTTTCTTGAAATTCACTGGAAAATAGCTATAAAGAATGTAGTTCATTTTTTTAAGTATTACTGGACTTCCAAGTTCATTATGTCAAATTATTTGTACGTTTATAAATAGTCAAAGAATATTTACCGTAAATTCACGTCTATATTAAATAAAAATAATATTATTATACCATATATTAATCATTATTCTAATTTTATTTATAGCTATAAAAACATTAAAAAGAATAAATTATCTTACATAAACTTAGAATACGATTTATTCAACGGTTATTATTACATTTCATAAAAATAAATATTAAATTAAATTTTAATACCAATTTCGTTATAGTAATTGGATTTAATAAATAAGGATATTTTTCTTCGATATAGCGAGTTCAACAAATAATTTTTCATAAATATAAGATTTTGACCAAATTTTATTCTGTATAATGAAATCTTTCAAACATATAAAAATTGAGTAAATTCCCACAAATGGAAAATTATATATTTGAAACATCGCAGCAACAATAATTATAAATTTTCAAAACAATTTTATTATTCTTTTAAAGAAACGAATGTTTTGAAGAATGTTTATAGAGTCAATTGAATATAATAAATTAATTTTGTATATATATATATATATATATATATATATATATAAGAATAGTTTCTATTTACACCGTAAGAATTTTTTAAGAACTTTTATCTCTGCTATTACATTGTATAAATGCATAAATTAATGCACAAAATGATGCATAATTATAAGACGAGTAATGCGTAATAACAATTAATTTATTTTATTATATGTAATCATATCATATTTATGAAAACTTCATAATAATTTTCTAGTTATTGTTATAGCAAAATTTTTTGTTAATAAAATGATTGATTAAACATATTTCAACGTTAAAAAATCAAAAATATGATTTTTCAATTTGTACTTTATATTTTCGATGATGTATGTATTAATAACTTTAGTAATAACCAACCGAATGTATATTACATTTAAAAGGTATTCTATATACAATAATATACAAAAAATAATGTCCAAGTGTTATATATAGTATATTTGTAAAGAAAGATGTGGTTAATTTTTCTTCTAATCGTAAAATAATACCATTATATTTTAAAAATATAGAAACATTATATATATATATATATATGTATGTATGTATGTATATGCAACTATATAATATAAATTATTCATAATTAGTCTACTTTTATTAAATGTTTCATCTATTTAATGCCACAAAAATTTTAAATTAACTTAAATAGAATATATAAATGTATATATTTATATTTTTTTTATTAGTGTAATATAACGTTTACTTAGATATAAATGAATCAAAATTTAAAATATATTAATAATGTGGTAGTATTTTTTATGATAAATAATTTAATTATGTTATTGTATAAAGACAATGGTAAAATGTTATATTAATAAATATATATATTTTAAATATTTATGCAAAGATACATAGGCATGTAGAAACTGAAATTGATGATATATGAAAGAAATCAGTTTTTATTTAAATTATAAAATTTCAAACTAAATAAACATATATCAATAGAACACTTATATTACAAATACATATTTTTACATTTGTTAGAAAACTCTCGTTTCAAATAATATTACTACATTCTACTCTACTATGATTTGAATTGCTTGTCGATTCACATGCTAATCGAATATATTCTAATTTAATGAGGTACCATTTTGTTTAGCAGTAGCCATATAATGAGACGAATAAATATTTTTAATACATCACATGATATATTTAACATTTTACACACATCGACACTGTAATAAGAAATATCGTAATAAAGGAGGGTAGGAAGAGAATAGAAGAAAATATATTAAATGTAAAATGATTTTAGATATCGGAGAAGCAGCAAAATTCACTCATAATTTATTAAGTCGATAGCATTACTCAATATAAATGATCTAAAAACTTCATACCATACATAAATTTCTATCTAATGTCTCTTCGAATTTTTTATAATAAATAATATATATATAATAAATTATATATTATAATATAAATCATTTTTAAAATCGATTTAAAAAAAAATAAATATAAAGTCAATTTTTTAAATCTACACTCCGTAGATTGTGATTTTCTATTATAATTTATATACAAGAATTTTTATTAATATATAAATTGCCATTTTTATACTTAACAATGAATCAATATATATTATCTTCTATGTCATTATAAGCATTGTATTTTATCATCTTTAATTTTGAGATTATACAATATGGATGTATAGATGTATAGTACCACGTTTCATTTTGATATAACATTTACAATTTTCAACAAATAATTTTAAAAATATTATTGAATTAACACAATCGTAAACAAAAATGATTAAAGTAATAAAATGCAAGAAATTGCTCGAAGCTAAAAAAGCCGATAGTTTCTACATAATGAATATTCAATCATTAGTTCAAAATAGATTTACCTATATGTGTTGGATAACAATGTTAATAATATAGTATTTTAATATAGTTTAATTTTCTAAAAATAAATTTAAAAACTGTGAATCATAAATTGATTTATTAATTTATTATAGTTTACTTCCTCGTATCCAATATTACTTAATCGATTCAGAAGTACACTGTGTCTGAATATGTAGTAAAAATATTGGACAAATTAGCTTTTAACATAATACTTATAATACATGATATACCTAATGAACTATTCTTCAAAGAATTTAAGACACCACATGGTTTTTTTCTTAATACTGAAAATTGTGGTATTTTATGTATATCAATATATTTCAAATTATACATTTTTATTTGAATATCCCTTTTTCTTAAATGGATACAAACTTTATCGAAACGATTAGTGCACAGTTATTAAAAATATTATATTTATGTGATTTAATCTAAATAATGATATAATTAGTAAAACGTTAATAAATCTTTCATTATTTATAGTGACAAATTTATAAATAAAATATGAACTTAGAAAATTAATCTGATCTATATATTTAAATTGAAATTAGTAATTTTCAAAATTTTATTTATTAATAAATCTACAATTTCCCT